CAATCCAGGGGAGTGGGGTATCTCAGATGGAGAGTATGGGGGTCAAGATTGCAGGAGAAGAGAGCTCTCAGGGGGTGACCAGAAGGGGTGCCAACCGGAGCAGGATGGACCCTCTGTGTTCCATCCCCTCCTACCCCAGCGGGCCAAGAGCTCCCTGATGCCAGCAGGGAATGCAAGGCCAGCGTGGGCAGGGAGGTGGGGGTGTGGGTGCTGGGGACAGAAGGAGGGGGCAGGGTGTGGATCAGTGTCCACAGTGCCAGAGATGTGGCAGTGCCCGGTGACTCCACTGTCCCTTCTCAAAGACAGCTGTGCTTATTATTTTGGCAACCGCCACTGAGGGACTAGCCCCCGCAAAACAAAGACAACCAGGTAATATTTACATAGTTTTTCTTCCAGATTAAGTTTTTCACGTTAGTATTTATAGCACAGTCTCTGTGTATGCGTTCACTTTTGGTACTGTCCAGAACAGGACAAAGGTGCTCCAAGTCACATATCCCCAACCCCTATGGGCCACCAGAACTTAAAGGCTCACCCCTTGAAATGTCCCAACAACCCCGTCTGGTCATTATTTCAAGTAATTTGACGCTTCTTCCTGGGTTCCCTCGAGGAGGCTCTACAAAGTTTGTGAGAAGTTCCCCTCCGGCCCTGTTACATTCAGGGGGGGTGGCAGGTGGGGTGGGCGGGGGATGTTCACAGGGTGCACACAGAGCAAAATGGGAAGGGACTGGAGAATGACATTAAGAAAAAAAAAAAAACAACTGAGTGAAGCAATGAGGACATGAGTCTTTTCCAAGAATTACAAATGAGAAAAAGAACATTCGTTCAAACAGGCAGCCTAGGACAGTGTCAGTGGGCACTGACAGCAGCTGGGGTGGCCCCGGTCGGGACTGTGTCCTCTCTCTAGTAATGGTAGCAAACCCCAATTTGTTATGCCTCTCTTAAGAGCTAGTTGATAAAAATTATGTCTTGTGAAATCGGCAAATAGTCTGCAAAGTGAAATAAGAACAGAAATTAACACATGAAACTGAAATGAGAGTCCAGAGGGGGAAAAAGAGAGGAAACGGGAGACCACTGATCAGCATGGTAATAAATCGAACCCTAGTGGTCTGGGATGTGGGAAGGAGGAGCCATTTCCACAGTGGTTGGTCCCCACTCAACCTTTCTAGAAAAGAACTACTCCCCACTCTAATAATTATCCAGAGGAGTCCGGCCCCCTTTCTTGGAGCACCTCATTTATTCTATAGAATCCTAACGGTGGGCAGGGGCAGGCATTGCTTAACACCTGTGTGGCCCAGGAACGTCTGTGGCAACCCCAGGTCACACAGGTTAAATGAGGCCCCACTGAGAGGGACCCTGGACACCCAACCCAATGAGATGGGTATTCATAGAAAGGGCCGATTCAGGTGAAAGGAGAACCCTTCGTAAAGGGTCAGGTTGCGCTGTCCTGACAGGCGACCCAGGATGCACGCGTATGTGAGTGACAACACACAGGATGAAGGACCTTAGCAGCTCTCGAGGGCCCAGGTGTCCTTTCATTTCTCTTAGCTGGCTACCTCGTGTTGCCCCAATAGGACGGATTCAGAAAGGGGTGGGGAGGGGTACGGGATCCACACACATCATAAGAGGGACGGGAGGTGGGTGAAGCGGGCACACAGTGAGGACACAGAAAAGAAAGACCACAAAGAAAAAATATTAGGACAGTTTGGTGGTGATGTTGACAGCTGTGCTGATGTCACTGACTCACAGGATGCCTGGGGAGGGGTCAACAGAATCAGGCTGACAGGGATGAGGAGAGGGCAGAGAGTTGGCCTGCTCCTCCTCTGGGTTGCCCCTCTGCACCCCGGCCCCCTCGGCCAGATCCACTAGAAACATCTTTACAGGCAGGAAGCAAGAGATGGATCTCAGAACATTCTAGAGCTTCCCTGACCCAGGGGTCCTGCTCCTGAGGCCCAGGCTCCAGGAGGGGTCAAGTGTGGTTCTTGAGCCACCACTCCATGAGCTCTTGTCTGGAAAACCACAGGGGCGACCCAGGCTTTCTGGTCTAGAACAACTGGGCTGCTCGAGGAGGTGCCTGGACAGCAGACGTGGCTGTCCTCCACAGGAGGCAGCTCCTCCAGGGGCTGGGTCAGCGATGGGCTCTGAAAGTAGCCTGGCTCCTCATCCAGGGGCGGCGGTGGCTAGGTCCAACCATTAGAGCACCCCTTCCCGGCCCAGGGCCACTCTACACCCTGACCCTCCCTGAGAGCAGGCGGCCTTATTCTTGTGGCCACTGATGGCCTCTTTCTGGCCATCAGCGAGGACTAACAGGAGGCTTCCAGGGGTGAGTGGGAAGGATGGGGAAATGGGAGTTTGACGGTTGAGAGAACAGAACAGCTTAGTCCCAAAGGTCAGGGAGCCTCGGTCTGCACATTTTCATGCCTGATTTCTGTCCCATTCCAACCCAGCTGATTGCGCCGAGCTGTGGGAGCTGGTGACAGTGGTAAACAGCTGGGCCCTGGGCACGGTCACTCCAAGCCCCTCCCACGTCCCTTTGCCCCCCTGCTCCATTCCCAAAGGCCTGGCTTATGGTGAAGGGCTGGGTAGCCGAGACCCCATCTCATTCCACCTAGCCTCGCTTGGTCATTCTTGCATCTCTGTCTGCCCAGGGCAGACCCAAGGATGCAGGTCCCTGAGACAGCGTTCTACTAGATGTTTCCCGAGTGAGGTCACGGGGCCCCGAGGACAGGCTCTCAGATGAGACAGGGCATGGAGTCCACTTTGTCACCCCCAAATTATCCCACGTTACGATCCCCCAACCCTCCCCACCTGGGACTAGTGCTGCACTGAGGGGGCAATGGCAACCTGATTATGAAGGGAAGCAGGTTGGCCCAAGCACACAGAGCAGCGCCATGCTCTCAACGAGCTGAGAAGTGTGAGCCTGTGTATCTTCTCTTCCCCTGGGGAGGAAGCCAGGGGAGGGAGGGAGAGCAAAGGCTTCCCCCAAATTGCCACCAGTTTCTGTGCTGAACAGGACAGGCAAGGAACGGGGAACAGGGACAGTGACACACCAGGGCTCCCCAGGAGTGGCAGTGCACGCATGCATGTATGTGTGTGGACCACGCAACCCCCACCGTAACACATCCTTTCCTTTATGTTCCAGAGCAGCGCCATCCAACAGAACTTTCTGTGGTGATGGAAATGTTCTGTGCTCTGCACTGACTGTCGCCACTAACCACACGTAGCTTCTGAGTAACTGCAACCTCAGGCTACTGGGACTGAGGGACTGAATTCTTCATTTTACTTAATTTTAATTAATTTAAATCTAAAGTGCAGTGGCTATACATGGCTAGTGTGATGGTACTGGACAGATGGATGCTAGAGAGATGGTGGAGTGTGGCAATTAAGACCCAGACCACCTGGGTCCAAATCCTGGCCCTGCCCCTTGCTGGTTATGACCCCTCAAACAGGGATTTCTCCCTCTCTGGGCCTCGGGGTCCCCATCAGTAAAGGGAGGGAATATACTGGAGGAGCAGATGGAGTGAACTCTGGACCATGCCTGGCCCAGTGCTGGCTGATCTGGTCCAGGGGCCTGCTGTCCTGCACTGAGAGGTCCATGGCCCCCAAAGCCGCCATCAGCTGTAGAGAAGCGGTGGGGGGGGGGGGGGCTCCCTTAGGGCAGCCGAGGATGCTTGCTGAGGGCCCCACCCTGAGGGGGAAACTGCCCAGCCCCAGGGGACACATTTGGGGTGGTCCCCACACTCACACTGGTCCATCTGGAAGTTCCGCTACTGTACCTGCCTCCCCCCTCTTCCCTCACCTGTACAATCAGGGAGGTGCACAGACCTCAGGGACCATCTCGCCCAAACCCTTGGTTTATGGGAGACATGGGGTGACCTGCCTGTGGCCACGGGCAAACTGGATAAGAGTCAGGGCTTCTATCGCTGGCCCAGGATCTGTCCCACCCAGGGCATGGCTTGAAGTACCCCAAATGCCTCCTAACCTGCCCCCACACGACTTTCCCCACCCCAAAACTCAGTCTAAGGCAAAGGCCAGCTCGAACCCCACACGCACCCTGACGCTGCCCTCCTCATTGGTTTCAGAACGCCACCCGCCCAGGGCCACATCTTCGCTCCCTCTGCTGCCCAGGCTGCCGGGTCTAGGCAGATAAGCAACCTAGCCAACAGGGAGTGAAACCCCAGCTCCCTACCGAGCCTCCTCCCCCTGTAGGGAATCCAAGAGGACAAAACTCCATTCCTAATGCCTTCTCTAGAAACCCCAGCTGTCCTCTGCACATAGATACCCCCAAGCACCCCAATATATTCTCATCTGTACTCCAGGTCTGGGAAAGGCTGGCTGACTCCTTCAGGGGAAAAGCAAAGCCCCATAATACATTGCTTCCTTCAAGACCATGCCTACCCTTGCTGCCTCCCCCGCAGGTGCGGGTCCCAGGCCTCCGCTACACGGGAGCTGGAGCAGCCATCCCCCAGGGTTCTGCCTCACGTCTCTGACACCCACAGAGGGGAGGGAGAATCTAAACGTCTCACCAGGACAGAGAGCAAACCTAAACCCCAACGGCACACCCAACATACAGCAGAAGGGCGCCGAAGCCAGAGCCGTCAGGCCGAGCCGGAGGAGGGCGCAGGGCAGGAAGGTGGGAGACTGAGACAGCAGGCACTCGGACGGCGGGGAGGCAGAGGGTGGAGGAAAACCCTGGGCTGACAGCTCAGCCCCCGGAGAGAAGGAACCGGTAATGGGCTTCATACGAAGGAGGGTGAGCAGAGGGAGGGCTCCCACCACAGTTCTTTCTCTTTCCCCCTAAAGGCTGCCGCCCTCAAACACGCGGCACCAGTGATGTACTCCAGTTAATCAGAAACGGAGCTGCATCCTGACCTGGAGTTAGGTGGACTTGAACCATTTCTTGAATGGACGTATGTATGAGCTGTGTTGTCCTTAGGGGTACCCCTGACCCAAATGCAGCCCACCTCCCACGCTTCCAAAGCCCCGGGAGCAAAGACACTCACCTGGGAACTGATAGCCATAGCTAGGAGCAAATCCGGGGTAGCCGCGGCCATAGGTTGCCACAAAGTTGGGGTAGCCTTGAACACAGAGAGAAAGACCACAGTTCTGTTAGTACAGCTGCCTCGGCTCTGGGGTGAAACCTCAGGGAGGGTGGGAACGAAAGAGCCCGGGTCATTTTCCTCCACAGAATGATCTGTCTCCCGGGAGGGTCTCTACCCAGGGCCTAGTCACCTCTCCCCCGTGGCTGCGGGGTGCTGCCGTCAGCCTGCTGGTAATTAACTCGTATTTGGGCAGAGAGACCCCCAAACCCACGCGCTTTCCTGAACCTGCAGAGTAAATGCCACGCATTAGCACCAAACACAGGGCCCGCGCCTGGCTCTGACATTTGGAGAGCTTACCCTGAATGTACTTAGGACCTTAAAGCTATTGACAGGAGGAGATTAAAGTCCTTGTAAGGCCTCCTCCCAAGGCAGCGGACAGCAGCGCCAGCACCAGACTGAGCATGAGGACAAGGGGGTCACGGTTTAGAGTGAAACTCAGGCTGATCCCTGCCTCTGGAGAAATGCTGGGCTTCAAGAGCCTGGCCTTCAAGAATCCCAGGGGAGGCGGGGTCCTGGGGTCCCATGTCCAAGCACAGATACTCCACAGGGTGCCAGTACCTTCCCAAGGCCCTTGGAGAACAGTGGGGGACTGCTATGTCGAAACCTGCACCACGAAGCAAACCCGGAAGACTCACGCCCTGTGTTTATTTATTTTTATTTTTTGGTGAGGAAGATTGGCCCTGAGCCAACATCTATGCCAATTTTCCCTGTTTTTTTTGTGTGTGTATGTAGGATGCTGCCACAGCACGGCTTGATGAGTGGTGTGTAGGTCCATGCCCAGGATCCAAACCCATGAACCCTGGGCTGCCAAAGCAGAGTGTGCAAACTCAACAACTACACCACTGGCCAGCCCCAGCGTGCCCTCTGTTTTGATGGGCATTTCACAGCAAACATGTTTTCCAGACACCGGTCTCAGCAGGGAACCAAGGGGGCAATCAGTTAACTGAGGGGTGTTCGTGGAAACTGCTGCTGGGCTGTGCTTGGGGTGCAGTGGAAACCACTGGCAAGTTCTGGTGCTAGTGGGGCCTTCTCCAATCTGTTACAAAAGCCCCAGTAAAAGTCACTTCTACCCTTCATCATGTCCAGGCAGGCCACTTCACTCTTTGTGTCTGTGCCTCTCGATTCAGGAGACATGGAAGGCTGGTGTAGACGTCTTGACCTGAAATTCCACCGGCCAGAGGGGACCCATGACTACCCCTGGTCCCATCCCGTCAGCCTCACTCTGCCTTGCTCCACTCAGTGTATGGGAATCTCAGTATATTCATGCCCTTAAAATACTCCCTGGCCATGCTGCCACCTACCCTACCACTCCCTCTGCCGTCTGACCACCTCCACCACCGCCTCCACCACCACCTCCACCTCTACCCATACCTTTACCACCAGCCTGCCTTTTGCTTTGACCAGAGGTGGACGTCTGTGGTTGTTTTCCGGCTGCCCAGCACCTGACCCCCTTTTGTGTGTTTGCGTCTTGGAGAGAGGCTGGTCTTCCTGCTGCCTGTTCACAGGGCTTTTGTGCCTCAGAGGTCCAGAGACAGGTCCTACCCTCCCTCACTGGCCTGTGGTGTAGCTTCTGCCTTGACCAGTGGATCTATCATCAGTCCCAGAACAGAAGCTTGCTGGACCGGACGTCAGGAGACTTGGGTTCCAGACCTGCCTCTGGCCCAGGGCCATGCCCTTGGGGTCTTCCCTTTCCTCTGGGGGCTTGAGTCTTGCGACCCATAGAAAGCCTTGCAGGTTCCTTGCAGCACTGATGTGCCCAAATTCCCAACCGAGCCGTGGCTCCTTTCCCCCGCTTCAACCAGAGCCTTTCTAAATCTGCAGACACAACTCACGGGCCCGTTGAACCATTTCTACCTCAAAAGGATCTGGCCTCCTGCTCCTTCCCTGTGTGAATGTTTCCCAGCACTTGGTGTCTCATTGGTAGACGGCTGCCCAGACAAGACAAGATGACCTGGCAGCTCTGCACCGACTGCTGAGGAGCAGGACCCAAGAGAGACACAGAACACTGGCACCCGAGAGGGAAAGACGGGGAGGAAGAGGGACAGAAACCAAGATTCGGATGACTTAAGAGGACACACACACACACTGGCCCCCTCCTTGCACGGCCGGCCAGCTCAATTCTCCTCCAAATTACTCACCTGCTAGCAAATCAGATCTTTTAGCACTACATTTCTTATACCATTATTTCAACATTGATAAACAGATTATACGCAAATAAGCAAATCACTCCTGCCTAGGGGCTTTCCTGATGAGAAATGACTTCTTTGCTTTTAACTTGAGCGCCGGGGTCTTAAATATTTTAATGTTAACCCGACAGCAGAAGCTTAAGCTCATTCGTTACCTTTAAGACTCAGGGTGGATGACAATGGTGGAAGGCCCAGTCCCTCCCTGACTTGGGGACCACCAGGACCATTTGATTATATCTGCTTTCTTCCTGGCATACTCCAAAGTCTTCAACAAGAACGAGGAAAAGTGTGGTCAAGTTCACCCCAATTTTTGGCCTCACCCCAATCTTCCCGGACATGTCAATATTGTCTCCGGAACATGAAGATGAGAATTTGGCATCTGCCAGAGTGGGGGATCTCATCTCCAACCCCGATCACCGAACATCCTCTGGGTCAGGCAGACGAAATCATAAATTTATAATACAACATTACTTCAATTTTCCTCTTCATTTACTGCTGTGCAGCCCAGCTCTGCTCCAACGCCTCGCAGCCCCAGTCACACAGGGGAAATTGGCTGGCTGCATATCAATAGCACATTACAGCAGACCCGTGCGGACGCTCCATCAAGCCACATTACCGAGAGATGACCCAGCCACCACTTCCATTAGCAGCTGGGCCCCTCCTGCACTGGCCACTGCACAATTTATCTGCTCCAGTACTCTGGACGCCTGATCAATCCCACAGTAATTATCTCTTGTCACTAAAGAAAAAACCAAGCCTTCTGCCTGGATGACCACCTTTTTTACAGATGGGCTTTCCACGGTGGAAAAAAAAAATTCAGAAATCAACAACAGAATTTGAATTTGCCAGTCAGTTAGCTCATTTCAGGGTCTCGTTTTGGGGATGCCGGCAGAGTTCTCAGAACTGTGGTTCTAGATCTTTGCACCAGCCCTGGAAGATGTTGGCATTCAGGATGGGTATATGACTCATCCTCTCCCACGCTCTGTTACTCAGCTACTCAGAGTCACAGAAAACTGCTCCCACCAGGTCCCCTGACTTGAAAGAGACAGAGACGAAGGAACTGCCAGAGTGTGACACATCTGACGCATAGCGTGCAGAGCATTGCCTGGGGCACCACGCTGGCTCCATGAGGTCTGCATACAGATACAACACCAAATGCCATGAGCCCTTCCCAGGCAAGGATGGAAAGGCCAAGGTCTACCAAGATGCTCGGACCCCAGAATCACCCTGCGTCACAGCAGCTCCTCTCGGCCTGTGCTGTCCAATTTAAACTAAATTTAATTTAAATTATAAGGAAAACTCCACTTCCACGTCTTGAGTGCTCAACAGATACACCTAGCTAGTGGCTACCATCTTGGGCAGTGCAGATAAAGGACCCTTCCACCACTACAGAAAGTTCTAGTGGACTGTGCTGCTCTGGAAGGGAAATGAAGAGCTGGAATTTGAGTCTTCTCTGTCTACCAGGAAACAGGCGAACAAATGGAGACCTTACGAATGACCTCAACAGATATTTTTGGGAAAGACAAATCCCAACTGAAATTACAAATGAGTCTAGACACGCAGCTCTAAGTTCCAGCCAATCTCCTCTGATCTGTTGGTGAATGCCCACAGATTACAGCTCCTCATCCCTTCCAGAAGATGGGTTTTTTTTTTTCATTTCAGAAGGGCTTAATGTCGGGGATCATCGGGTCAGGATTTCACAGGGGCTTCTCAGTATGAGCGTTGGTAAGAATGTCTCTGGCTTTCTTCAGCTGGCCAACAGCGTCTCTCCATTTCTGGGCTTGCCAGGGTGAACCTTCTCCTTGAGGCCTCAGAAATGAGTGTTTTTCCACCACTGGTATCAAACATGTTAAACAGCGCATGCCCAACGAGGTCAAGAGAGTGAGAGGCAGTAGGATTATGAGGCTGAAGGCAGAGAAGGCCAAGAGGAATCAAATATACCTACAATAATCATGTTTGCTTTTATTAAACCACTTTCATTAATAAAAAGCAAAGAGATTCTCGTGCATTGAGCTGGATAACCGTGGGCACCTCTTGGCTGCTGCAGGCAGTGGGACAAAGTCTCAGGGCTGCAAAAAGGCCCTTCCTAAGGGTCTCAGTTGATTTTGGTTTTGTCTGGCACAAAAACAGGGAGACCTGGCCTAAGGCTGACTCCCCCTCTTCTTTCCTACATTCTTTTTACGGAATTCCCATGGGGCCGATTAGTCTCTGATTCTGTCAAAGGCTATGAAGGGCCAAACCAAACCAGCTGTTCAGTTTCCTCCCAAGGACTTCGCAGCCCTATCAGGAGAGATCAAGAAAGAAGTGTGCTTCTTCATGCTCATCAGCCTCCCTTTGATGAGGCCTGCCGAAGTATGGAGAAAATCTTAAAGGCTATTTAAAAATTAGTTCCACAGTTTCCAGGTCATTTATAGACCAGTGTGTCTGTTGTCTCATTAGAATATCAGCTCCCCGAGATCAGAGACTCCATTCTCTGCGGCATCGGCGGCCATCTAGCACAGCGGCTGGCAGTTAGCAGGTACTCAATAAATACTTGCTGAATGAATGGATTTAAAAGCTTGAATGGGTTTTAGTCTCACTTGTAAAAATCCCTATAAGTGTTATATATTTTTCCGCTCCTTCAACAACAGATTAAATCACTGAAACTTTCTCTTATTATTGAACTTTCAAGAAATGCTTTTCTCTGTGAGTCGAGTTCATCAGCCAGATTGTCGTTTGTGGTGATGGTAGTGATTCCGGGACTGATATGCAGGCCTAGTGCACAGAGGTAGTGCCCTGGGTGACTGACAGGGACACGTCAGGCCGTCTTACCAAAGGATTAGACTCCGCCCAATGTCACCACTTTAGAGGGAAGAAGCAAGAAGAAACGGCTTCAGTCACAGCACAGTAGATGCTACTCTGCTCGCCCAGAGAGTCCAGAGGCCCAGGGCGCCAACTGTGCCAACGGGCAAAACGGAGGGCAGCCTGGGAGTCTATCGGAGAAAGCTTGGCGGAGACTCCGCCTGGCTGGGGAGGCAACAGGCCAGCCAGACTGTGAGACTGCGAGTTTGTTCTCTGGGAGCGGAGTCTGATTCACCTCTTCTGCCTGGACCTCAGGCTGAGCTGGTTCCAGGCTAGAGGCACATTTTGGGACATCCCGGGAGGCAGTGTCTCAGCAGGTGTCTAGATGGCCTCACCATAGTGGCTGGGGAATTCAGGAGGGCCGGGGGCTGATGAGGTCTGGAGTCCAGTACGTGGATCTTTATTGAGAGGGAGAAACTCAAAGATAATCCAACTCCTTGGGCTGGGGGTTGGAACTGAGGAGGCGGCCGCAGGTGCCACGGCACACCTGCAGGTCTAGCTATGTTCTTGGCCACTGGTAGGAAGAGGCCCCGAGGGGAAGGGTGTCGGGCGCCTACTTGGGCGACAGTTTGCCCAAGGCTCCCAGTACCTTGTTAGTAACAGCTCTCAGGTTGAGCACATACTACTGTACTTTGTTGATCGGAAGACACACATTTTTTTTCACATTTTAACATCTCTGAAAGTGGGATCTATCTCACAGTCAATGTGATTAAGAAAACATCAGTGCAGTTTAATTGACGGCATATATTTTCTTCTTTCTGAATGGTACACAAAGGTGCATTTTACCACCCGTGGCAGCTCAGATTTGACGAAATACAAGCACTGGCTGGGCACGATATGGTTTCATTTATCCTCAACAACCCCATGAAGTGAGCGCTCCTATATCCTTACCTATGGATGGGGTAACTGAAGGGGAGAGAGGCTGTCCCTTGCCCCAAGTCACACAGCTGACCAGGCGAGGAGTCCAGATCTCCTGATCCCGATGTCAGCAGCTCTTCCCGCTGGTCCACACAGCCCCCCTGGGTGGAGGCTGGGCCGACACCATCCATTCCATCCCAAGGGCTCTCTGCTTGGTTAGGGGAAGGGGAGAGCCTCTGTGCCCTGACGGGGTTTGGCTGAGGTCTGGGGGTTCTGCCTGGTGACAGCCACAGGCAGAGCTATGCAGGAAAAAGGCAAAAGTCTTAAGCAGCAGGGGTGCGGCGGGTTGGGTGGGCCAGGGGAGGTTAAAACTCAAGAACAAACAGACTCAACCAGGACAAGATTTTCAACTAATCATTACTTCTTTACTGAGGCTCAGGGAAGCCAGAACTTGAGATGCGAGAGGACAGGGAAAAGTCGGGGCAGATGAAGAAGCCCCTGGCATTCATCACACACCCATCCCTCAGCGAGAGGAGCCAATCAGACGGCATCTGGAGAAGCACAGGGACCACGCGGGTTGGCCCACCACCAGCTGCGGTCAAAGCCAATCTCAGGGCCACGTGGCCTGCTGGCCCGCCACTCCTCCTCCTCACACAGGCCCTGCCTGGACGTGCCCCACCCAGCCAGGCAGGGGGGCTCCTGGGGTTCCACACTAGGACCTTTGCATTTCAAGGCTATTCCTCCTGTCTGGATCGCCCTTGGCTTACTCACCCTTCTCACTGCAGCTGAAATGTCACCTCCACAGGGAGGTATTCCCTGATTCCTCAGACTAATTTCTATTCCTCATTATGTGCTCGTAAAGCACCCCAGAACTCTATTATGACTAATTACGTATCTGTGTGCTTAGCTGTTAAGTGTTGTCTCCCTCACTAGACCACAAGCTTCATGAGGGCAGGGACCACGTTTAAGCACTACCTCTCAGTGCTAGCCCAGGGCCTGGCACACAGTAGGTGCTCAAAGGCTAATGGTTATTGAATGCCTCCTGCACTCAACAAGGCCTTCCTGCTTGGGCTCCATTACAAAGCCACAGGGTGCCCTCTGTTCAGGCACCTCATCTTGACTGTCTGTGGAGACATGGGCCCCGAGCCCTCGCCTGGGTCTGGGGTGAACAGAGCTGCCACATCTTTGCTCTTTGGCAACTGTCACAAGTGAGCTGGCTTTGCTCCACACCTCTGCTTCCTTGAAGAAAAACCAGTTCATTCTTCCCAGCATGTAACGGGTACCAAGTTAGACTCAGAAAGGTGGGGGCACTTCCTGAAGATGCGGATCCTAAAAAGTCTCCCATTTTATGCCCTGGGGCCTTTAAACTCATCATTTAAAAGTCAAGACCCCAAAAGCCTGCAGGTGGCAACGGGCTCACCTTTTTTTCTTTAAGGTTTGATTTTTAAAATTTAAAACTATTAATCCAGTCGGAGTTTCTTTTGGGATACAACAAACGTATGTATGTGACAAACAATAATTACACTCTTACATAGAAAAATATTTAGTTTAGGCTATTTGGCTTTTTCTATCAACAGGTGCCTTCTTATATACACCACACTACTTTAATTACTGTAGCTTTGTGCTATGTTCTGACATTTGGTCAAACTAGTTTTTTCTCATTTCAAAACATTTTCTTATTTATTCTCAGGTGTTTCTTCTTCCAGATAAGTTTTAGAATCATTTGGCCAATTTTTAAAGAATTACAATAGGAATGTTCTTTGAAATTCTGTGAAACCTAAAAAATTAACTTGAGAAGAACGAACATCTCGCCATGTTTAGTGTTCTCAAGGCATCTCTTTCCATGTTTTCAGTTCCTCAAAATAACTTTACCTGCCCTGGTTATTTCCTCAGACAAATAGATAGAATTCTTTTTAAGAATTTACAAAACCAAGAAAAGTTTTATCAATTTAAAACTGAGCAGGAATGATTTAAACAGCAGCAAATCTGAAAACACATAAAGAGCTTATCAAACAATATAGAAGAGGGACTCTTAGCCAAACCAAATGAAAACCCATTAAAACTAGACAGATCATGTGCCTGAATGGAATTTTACTATTAACTACCATTTATCCCATTTAATTAGTATTTTCCCGACACACAATAACTTGCAGTAAAATACCGTTCTCTCGCCTTGAAATTTCTAATTATTGTTGCGACCCACACCATTACGCTTCTCCACTGCTTTCTCCATCTTTCATGCCATTTAACCGGCAAGATTTTCAATTATCTACGCAGGACGGACAGAGATACCTTTAAGGAAGGGGCATAATATGCAACTCAATTTCTCTAAAAGCCAGGAGAGATCATTTTTTGTCAGAACAAACACACTTTGTCTTTCATCATTTTTTTTTTTGCAAATAAAGAGTAAAACAGGCTATTTAAAACATCCATTTAAATGCAAATTTTGATATCCCAAGAGAAAAATGTTAATCATTTAAATAGACAGGATTATCGCCCACCCGCCCCATTTCCCTCTTCTCCCAAGTTTTAGAAAATGTAGCCTTGGCCCACACAAGTTAAGGCAGCCGGGATTACTTAGGTCTTTAAGAACTCCCACCGGGTGGAGAGGGCTGAGGCAGAGGGAGTGACTTCCTTTTTTCAGAGAAGGGAGTGAAAAGGAGAGAAAATAATAATCAAGTACCTCCTAGGAGCCAGGCATGAGATATGATATATCTGTATAAATCTATACATATACCTATTCATTTAATGTTACAACTGTCTTGCAAGGGGGATTATCAACTAATTGACAGACGAGGAAACTGAGGCTCAGACAGCTTAAGCAGTTTGCCCAACTGGTAGGTGGTCCCGTTGGTTGTATAGGCCCCCAGTCCACGGTGACTCTGCTGTGTCCCCTCGGTCCCACCCAGACTCACCCAGCATCCCCATGCCAAGCATGAACGCGTCCATGGTGTAAGGCAGTCCCCGGGCCCGGCCTCTTGTCCCAGGTGGGAACATGACTTCTTTCGGCTGAGCTTTCTTACATTCTACCTGTTAAACAGAAAGGCGAACAGATGAGATGCAAATGAATTCCACGTAAATGTCAAACGCAGAACTGGTCTGGTTACGAGAGCCAAGTTATTTTTAGGCTTGCTCCTTACTCACTGTAAAAATAGCCGTGCCAAGTAAATGGCCTGCAAAACAAATATTGAAGAAAAGGCGCCACTTGTGCAAATCCCACTTGGGAAAAACCTACAAGGAGGCAACTGGGTTTGGAAGGGCGGCGAGGAAGGAAGCTGGGGATATACACGCGTGGGTCGGGAGCTCGGGCTGAAACTTGTGCAGAAGGCATGAGAGGTAAGGAGGCAGATGATAGCTGCTTAATGTGTGTGTGAACAACATTAGCAACAGCAATAGTCCCTCACGGTTGTCTGGCCCTTTACATGTTTAAAACACCTCCCAGGTTCCTTCAGGTCAGTGACTCTGCACACGGGGTCCTCCGATTCTACCTCTTATTAATAGACAAGCCAGTTAGTCTTAGCTCCATTTCACAGATGAGGAAACTGAGCATCGGCAGGCAGGCTGTGTAACGTGGTGAAGGCAGTGTAACGGGGCGTGGCCATATCCCAGTAGGTGCAGGCCCGGAAGCCAGACTTTCAAACTAAATTTCTAGGTCAGCGATGCCACTATCTCCATAAAACCTGGCCCAGCACACTCCTGAGGGAAGTAATAAGATTAACCCCCGATTCTGCTCATCTGGATTATTGGTTTCTCGTTTTGCAGTTACGTCTTCAAGCGTTTCCTAATCTTTCCTTTCTGCTTCCCTTCTGTCTCCAAAACTACTTAATCCTATTCCGCTCACACATCCAGAAGTCACTTCTTTTACTACCTGAACTACATATAACATGGAACCCAGGAAATAAGGAAAATTGCCCTCTTTTCCCAGGGTTCCTTAGGCCCTTGCTCGGCACTTACTCGCAGTTACTTTATATGCACTGGTAGGGGCCAGCCCTGTGGCGCAGCATCAGCTTCTTGGTGGCCCGGGGTCTGCCGGTTCAGATCCCGGGTGCGGACATGGCACAGCTTGGCAAAAGCCATGCTGTGGTACATGTCCCACGTATAAAGTAGAGGAAGATGGGCATGGATCTTAGCTCAGAGCCAGTCTTCCTCAGCAAAAAGAGGAGGATTGGCAGTAGTTAGCTCAGGGCTAATCTTCCTCAAAACAAACAAACAAAAAAACAAGCACTGTTAGCCAGTGATCAGTGCCACTGCTGATGAAGACGGGAGGTTGGAGGGCATGGGAGGGCTGCTCAGAGCAGCGAAAAGTAACAGCAGGACAGGCTGATGGTGATGGGGAAAGACAACAATCAAGTATCTTACTTAGAAAGCAGTCTGGGCCAGATGGTACAGGAGCCCAAACGCCATGTCCATCAGCAGCTGCTGAGGGTCTCAGGGTGACACAGAAAATTACTGTTGTTCACGGCATGTCTGAGATATGGAGAAAAGTTAAATCGCGCGCAGTATACATTGTTTAAAAAGGGATCTCCGGGGGAAAGAAAAAGGACCTATGCAGCCTACTCATTTTGGAGAGACTCTCATCCCAAATCCTTCATTTACAAAATATTTCAGTGCTTAAGCCTAGGGGCAAGCTTTAATGACCCCAAATGTTAATTCCTCTTTCTTCAAAGATACCAGGTAACAGGTATTATTACTCTTGCTCCTTAAAGAATGATAACCACAAATGCTTTTAAAAAATGGACAAAATGGTTCAACATTCCTGACTGACGTACTTTATGCAAAGAGTTTTTATAGATTAAAAGGACAGAGACAAGCATCCCGAAAGAGACGTGGGTAAAGGACACAAACACAAATGGCTAATAAAGAAGCCCACATCCCCGACATGAGACATGGCTGTCGTCTGTCCCACTGGCCATGATGAAAGGATTATCTGATGTCAGAGTTCCTCAGAGGATGGGGGACAGGGGAGAAACTGGCACCTATTTTTCTGGAGGCTAACTTGACAATACATCAAAAGCCATAAATGTACACATCCTTGGACCTAATAATCCCACTTAGAGGAATTTTTCCTGCAAGGACGTGTGGTTGAGGCTATTCACCGCAAGCATTAATTATAATTAGAAAAAAAAAAAGCCTAAATGTCCAAGAATGGGGAGTTGATTGGGCCGAGTTTGGTTTACCCAATCAGATTGAAAAGCTACGGAAACGCGTGATAATAACACGCACTGGTGTTGGGAAAGCCCTCAGTCTCAGGCACACCAGGACGCTGGTCCCCCTTACTGCAGGAGGGGGAAAAGCAAATTACAGCGGCGTTGTGGGAAATAAACAAGTGTATACATCATACAGGAAAGAAATACTAGAAAGACACACTAAAGTTGTCGTAGAGTGACTTTGTTCCTTAATTTCCATTGTGCACTTTTTATTGTCATTTCCCAAGTTTTCTGCTTTGAGTTTGAGTGTTGCAAGAAGTGGGGGGAGGGGGGAAAGGTGATTAAGAAGAAAGAAATACATCAGAATTGGGTCTTTTAGATTTTTCTCCTAAGCCCAGGGGAGGAAATGTGCTCCTGGAGCCCAGACCCCATCCCCCAGACTTGGAGAGCAGCAGACAAGAAACCTCATTTGCAGGAGCCTGCCCGAGCCTGGGAGGAGGGGTGTGCACTGTAGAGGCATACACGTAATTACCTAATGCCAACACCAGGATCCAGAATAATGCCGCTAACCAGCTCACTTCCTAATAGCCCTATCAGTGACAATCTATTGCATTGTCTTATGAAAACCTGCTGCCTGTTCCTAGGCAACCTGATCAACGAAAATTTCAGGTTTATACAATTTTCATTTAGGGAACATAAAGGTTAACTGACTGTAATGGGAGTATTTTAAACAAACCCACCTACTCTTGCTCTCACTGAACAGGGCTGGCAGCTCTGTTTAATTCTGCTCTGTCTTTGCTGGTGCTGTTCTGGACAACGCCGACTTCGTGGGTTCTGTCAACCACCGGCTGTGTCAACCGTGCGTGCTCCCTGAGGCCAGAGGCCACGGCATATGTGCTCTCTGGGGGACCCTGGTACGTCCTGGGCACTTGAGTGACAGGGAAAGGCAGCAGTCACACTAGGGAGCCTGGCCCAGCCTGACCTGCAGGCAAGGCTTCTCACAAGATTTCTCAGGACTAGGAGGCCTGCTCACTCTGTACCCAGCTCCTTTGATGATCTTGTCCGAAGAAAACATACAAAAGGAGAGGGAGGCATAGCTATTCCCTGCCTGTATCCTGAGTCTCCGCAGTGGGTCAGGGGCTTGAGAGGATGAAAACCACAGCCTTCCCCGATCAGACTGGCAGGAGCCTCGTCTCCCCCATTAGACTGCAGCTCTCAGTGCAGGGATCAGGGTCTGCCCCTACTTCCGTGGTTCCTCCGTGACGTTCCATACAGAGCAGAGATTGACCTATATGCTTCCTGAGGGTCAAGGACATCCAGTCTACTTAATTCAAGGATGCAAAGATAAACAAGGCCAGCCTCCATCTCCGGGAGCTCCCATTCTATTGGAAAGAACAGGTTCTGATTCTCTTGTTCTGGCAACATTATTAAGGCAAGTACTCATATGTCACCTGCCCCTTGTCACTTCTCGGCCTGTCAGCGTCTGGAGCCTCTTGAGTCAGACCACATTTGGGCCACCCCTCGCCCCTACCCCCACCCCTCCATCCTCCCACTGGGCGCTCTGCAAACCAGAGAACCCGGCATGAGCAACCAGAGTTACAGTCAGAACCCAATCAGTGGAAACCAGTGTCTCTCGCAGCTCCAGTCATGTACTTAGGTCATATGGCCACACACTATGTCCCAGTTGTCTACTGCTGTGCAACAAACTATCCCCAAACTTAGTGGCTTTGAACAACAATTTATCATTCCCTCTTGTGGTTCTGTGAGTTGACCAGGCTCAGCGGGGTTCTTGCTTGCGGTCTCTCATGTAGCTGTGGTCAGATGGTGGCTGGGGCTGGAGCCAGGGAAAGCCTGGACCTGCCTGGAGGCCCAGCATGGCTTCTCCACTCACACAGCAGGCAGTGTCCATGCTGCTTCAGCTGGGATCCTCCACAGGGGGCACCTCCTCGTGACTCCTCTGTGGCACTTAATCTTCTCCTAGCAAGGTGGCTGAGTCCTGTCCTAAACAGCATTCCAAAACACCAAGGCAGAAGCTGCAAGCCTTCTTACAACCCAGCATTGGGACTAGTACTGTTACTTCCATCACTTTCCACTGGGCACACACAAGGGTGTGCATACTGGGAAGCGGAGGTCATGAAGTTCATCTTTGGGGACTGACCACCACATGACATCAGCGAAGAGCAGTGGGCACACAGGACAGTGGGAAGCCTTCCTCCCACCCTTGGCGCTCAGCTGGCTGGGTTCTTGGGACAGTGGGCACTGAGGGCTGCCTTCACCATGAGGCACAAGCTGGGCATGGGAGTTCCCCTCCCGGGGCAGCCCCGGAGAAGCTTGTCTGGCTCCCCATGGTCAAGAGAAGCAAAATGGCAGTGGTTTTCCAGCGGCCAGGCCTCTTGCTCAGCTGTTTCAGCACTGCCTCCTTAGACCCCCATTTATGGTAAATGCTCCACACCACCCACACCCAGAGTAGAAGCGCGTTCCCAAAGCATTCTCTCTGGGGCAGCCCTGGGAGGCGGCAGACTCTGAGGAAGGACCATCTGCGAGTCTCGGTCCTTGAGTCTCCTTGATCAACATCTCAGACCCCACCTTAGCAGTGGCTCACAACAGCTGCCACTGCTATGGTTCCAAACACAACTGGAAGAAGCAGTGTGGCTGGAGGAACAAGAGACTCAGCAGGAAATTCCACGAGGGCTTGTGCTTGTGAGAAGCCTCAGAGGTCACTTGTGATCAACTGCTCACACCAGGAAGATGAGGTCTCCATTTTCAAGCTTCGTAGCTGGCAAAGCCAAGAAGCAACCCCACCCCAGAGGCTGAACGCCGAGGACGCGCCAACCCCCCAAAGGTAGATGGGATTTGCTTTAAAACGTCAGCCTCCAAATACGC